TTGAAGATTTGCAGCTGAGGTGCCAAACTAAGCGTAGCATTTCGCAAGGATTGTTGCCAGTTGAAATCTTGACCTGTCAACTTTTCTTCCTTTAGTAATGGAGAAAACTTAACAAGACGCAGCTAAATTGAAATGAATTCTATGATAGGGATGGTTCCCAAGCAGACAAGTAATTGATAATTGAAGCAATTAATAGATATCCAGGTTCTTTTCATTATTCCACTCCCATTAATTGTCAAGATTCCACTCAGTCAATTTGACAGCCAAATAGGCACATACTCGCAGGTTATTGTAATCATATTGATTAGGAGTATACATCATGTCCTGTTATTAATTGTATCAAATTCGAGATGAGAAATTAATAGATATTGTATCTAAGGTAAATTCCACTTTACCCCCTGTGGTTTAGCATTTTTTACATAACCCCCTAGGGTTTCAAAAGTTATACATAACCCTCTCATGATTTGGATTAAAACGTCAAAGTGATGGGAATGCTCATTCGTAATGGAGTCACCTAAAATATAAAAAATACCCTTATATAAAGTTGAAAATTATTTATTAACCAAGGAGATTTATGTGTATTTTTTGAAAATCATAAGGGGGTTATATGGTAAAGTATTAAACTATAAGGGAGTTATATGATAAAATATAAAAATCATATGGGGTTAGTGTGTCATATATTTATAAGGGTAATTTCGACATTTTTAGAAGTTTCGTTCCGAATGACTATTTCCGTTACTTTAACACTTTAATCCAAACTATGAGGGGGTTATGTATAACTTTTAAAATCATAGGGGGATTATGTAAAAAATGCTAAACCACAGGGGGTAAAATATAATTTGCCCTTGTATCTAAGACAAAAAAAGAAAAGAAAAGAAAAGAAAAGAAAGTGATGCTTTATGAAACTTTCTAATTGCATTGTTCTTGTTATTCCAAGGCATGCAACTCCAACCATAGAGCTTAGGTAATTCAAAACAAAAATGACTAATATAATCCTTTTTTCTTTTTAGCCACAGGAGAAACATTTTTTGCAACTCATCCCTTGTAATGAAGAGCCTCATTGATGAACTTGTCAAAATTAATGTAAGATGATCCCCCTACAGTTGCTTCCTCAGCTTTCTTCTTCCATTCTTTAGCGTTGAACCTCATTTTTCCCCTTCCTCTCCCACAATCATTTTGCGTACAAGTTCTGCAACTTCGTTACGCTTCACATCATGATTTATTTCCATCCCAATTCCCCATTTCTTGCAAGAGTAATGACAGTTAGTCTGCTGATCGCCGAAGAAAGGCCAGCAGATGACAGGCACACCGGCAGAAATACTTTCTAATGTAGAATTCCATCCACAGTGAGTCAAAAATGCACCAACAGCTGGATGCTCCAACACTTTGTCTTGTGCACACCAGCTCGTTAACAACCCTCTGTCCTAAATCTCTTCCAGGAAATCTTCAGGCAACGTTGCTGATTCTCCTCCCTGAACGACATCAGGCCGAACAATCCACAAAAACTGTTGCTTGCTATATGCAAGTCCCCAAGCAAATTCTTTGAAGTGATGGTCGGTCATGGTTGTTACACTTCCATAATTAACATAAACAACTGAGTTTGATGCTCTTTGATCTAGCCACTGGAAAACTTTCGAGTCAGGCTTCCATAAACTTGAATTCAGGGAATTGACTTGGCTTTCAGGAACAATGTGCCTGGCTAATAAATGTAGAGGGCCTATTGTATAAATATTTGGGAAATCGAACTTCGAAATGACTGCTTCTAATGCTTCCTTTTCAAGTTCATCGAAGGTATTGAAGATTATGGCTAGAGCTTTTAAACAACTTTGTGCCTCCTCTCCAAGGAAATCAAACAAGATATCGTTGGGATCAGTTGTTCTGAAAAAGCTTGGGAGGTCCCTGAATTTTATGTTGCTCATGCCACAAATCCAATCAACTGGCTTATCAAGAGTACCATCTGTGAGGTAATCGTCATCTGTACAAAGAGAAAAAATATTGGTTTTTCAAGTTTGACGAATAATTATATCAAGACTAACAAGGAAGGAACTTCATAATTTGGACATGTGAGTCCAATTTTTAATTTTTTTTAAGTGTCAATAAATACTAATAGTGTAATAACAGAAATAACAATTATAGCAGAAAAAAGATTGTAATCGTTTCTTACATATATACATATACTACTCCATTCGTAGCCATTGGAACTGAAGAAAAAAATAAAGTGTTATATAACTTTATAAAGGACACAAAGCTAGGAAGCCATTTAGAAGGTAAGACAGGAAGTGGAATAGAATATTCTCGTTACATGTTTGGGGCCAATAAATGGGTATAAAACCGATCGCTTCCGGGTGAACACTCGGCCTGGAAGGCCATAATGTTGGAAGTGGTCCAGCCATAACGTGGGAAGTGGTCCAGATACATGTCGATTTCATATTTTAAGGAGGTATGCATGTTTCATCATTCTCATGATCAAGAAATTACAAGCTATAAATGAGATGATTAAAAAACAGGTTTAATCATACCAATTAAGTTGAGATGGAACGTTAAAGACAATAACAATACAGTCCGGAGACAACAGAATAAATAAAGAAGTTTGTAGTATGTACTTTTGAATGGAAAAATTCCTCTCCTGAATAGCTCTCTATAGTGCAAGAATCCAATGAAAGAACAAGCAGAAGCCGTCCAAAATTGAACTTCAGGGATGCCCAAATCTTCAGCAGCTTTGATGCCAAAGCTCATGATTCCATCAGAAATCACACAACTAACAGGGGGCACTTCAGAAGACGAGTTCAGCTTAATCAAAAGCTCCTTAAAAGGAACCAAAAAATTGTTTCTGACCGAATCACAGAGCTGACGCACATCTTGAGTGGCATCTTTATCTGATGGTAGCATCCCATCAGGGATAGTCTCAAACCTGAAATCATGGAACCCTTTAACTGATTCTGGCCCCTTTGATCGGATCAAACGTTTGTGATTAAATTCAGAGTTGACAAAGGTTATATGGAACCCTTTTGCATGCAAAAGCTTAGCAAGTCCCATCATTGGGTTAACATGGCCTTGAGCTGGAATTGGAACCAAGACTGCATGAGGTTTTTCTGTGGATTTTGTGGTTTCCAGAGAACCCATTTTCTGTGTAAACGAAAGCCGAAGACGAAGTATTATGCACAAGTCCCTAATTGGTGGTGCCATTTATGGGATTTGGGGCAGAAATTGGTTCGGACCATACACAAAGGTCTACACAAAAGTCATACACTATACTACAAAAGATGGTACAAAACATATGTTTCATGGGTCACACACGTCCAATGAAAATCAAAGTGGACCTTTTAATTTTTGCTGTGCATATTTAAATGGTTAATTACACTTTGCCCCTTGAATATGGTGTTCATTTGCACTTACCCCTTGAATAAACAAAAGGCAATCTGCACCTGTAGAATTTAGGTAAAAAAAAAAAAACCTTCTAATAAATCTGCTTAACGGATTAGCCAGAAGGACAAATGAGCCCTTTAATTAAGTATTAACTGAAGTAACGAAAGTTAATTATGAGCATATATATTTTTCAAAAAAATAAACTTGAAATGAGGATATATATATATATATATTAACTATTACTGATTCATTTACTGCATATTTATTTACCGTTAACAAACTTGAAGATGGTTCATCAACAATCCAAAATGACCATGTTGTAATGCAATAAGATCCCATTAAATATGTTTGCAATAACATATAGTCCACTTTCGCTAGTAAAATATTTTTATTAAATAATAGCAAACTTTTTTTTATTGTTTTCATAAGCTGAGCTTAAGAAAAATATTATAATTCAATTTTCAAACTTTAAGCATGTACAAATGAACAAATAATCATATAAATTGGATGAGAAAACACATTTTTGAGTTATTTTATGAAGGGTATAATTGTACAATATCCTTAACCGTCAAAGTTGTAAACAATTTACTGGTTAAAATTGCAAACATCATATTTTTCTCGACGCAAAGAGAATATTCGTTGCACTTAGAGGGAAAAGTGCTAATTATTCCCACATGCAGGGGGCAAACTATAATCAACCTTTTTGAGAATTTGAAACTTCAATAATTCATGACTGGGTTACCTTTTCCCCATGGGGATGTTATACCACAAGAATTTGAAAAACAACCTCTTCCAACAATAATTGTACAATGTAGCTTAAGAATTTTACGGCTAAAAAAATTCAATTTTAAATGTACGCAAGAAAGACATATAGTGACCCAAAGACGTCAACCTACTGATATTAAAATCAACCTCTTCCTATTTATATTGCTAATTTTTTGGATGAAATCCTTAAAAATCTTTAGTTACTGTCGGAAATTTCATAAAACGACATAATATTTGACAAAACTTAATATTCAAGCAAGATTGATATTACTGGACAATTTGTCTTTGAGTCATGTGTATATATTATGTTCATTTTTTAATCTAGAGGAAACTTAAATGTTGAAAAAACAAAGACTCATCGTGTAAGAAAACTTGTTTTGTTATTATTTTTTGAAATTGTATGACAATGACATATATAATAAACTCAAAATTCGTTATTCTCAACCATGGAAGTTAAAGACAAGGACGGCATGATAGAATCATAAATTACTAAATATTGGGACATTTACCAACGTCACAATAAGAGGGGAAAAATGGCTCTTGACAGGAGATTGTTCTTCACCAAGATGAAAGTAGTCAATTGCGACAAATTCAATTAACCTAGATTTTCTTTTTTCAAAAAAAAAAAAAAATCACTTATAGTTGAACATCCTCACTTTTTTCTTCTTGCTCAATTAAGCTGAGACAAATCAGTATTATGTTGTTATTGCTGCAAAAATCAATTTTAGATTCAACCAAAATACAGTAACAAGTAAATTGTATTGTATTACAATTTATTTTCCCAATAAATACATGAAACCATGCTAACACTTAATCATGACATTATGAAATTATAATGACCCCCTGACTAGATACGGAAAGGCAAAAAATTAACCAAAAGATGTAGTATTTGGGGATTGAAGCACATTTTCAATCATTTTATCCAAATTCAAGTATGAAGATCCAATAGATGGCCTTATTGCCTCTTCAGCTTTGTTCTTCCATTCCCAAACTTTTTGCTGCAGTTCCTTGCCCTTCTTTCCCTCCATTAAGTCTCTTACCACCTTCTCTACCTCCAATCTATCCACATTACTGTCTATCTCCACAGCAACACCCCAGTGAGTGCAACAACACAGGCGATTAGTGAGTTGATCTGCGAAAAATGGCCAGCAAATCATTGGCACTCCAGCACACAAGCTCTCAAGCACAGAATTCCACCCACAATGTGTTAAAAATACACCTATAGAGGGATGATTTAGAACAAGCTCTTGATTGCACCATGTTGCTAACATCCCTTTATCCTTCGTTGCAACCGCAAATTCGGGTGGGAGAACAATTTGCTCTCCTGTCACGAGATCAGGCCTGATAATCCACAAAAAGTTTTGCATGCTATTAGCAAGTCCCCATGCAAACTCACCCAATTGATCTTCAGTCATCACTGTTATGCTACCAAAGTTTATGTAGGCAACTGATCCTTGCTTCTTGGAATTGAGCCATTCAATGCAATTTTCATCTTCTTTCCATAGATTGGATTGAATGGATTCAGCGGAATGATCACTTTTTTGTATATCTTTGAGAAGCAAGTGAATTGGTCCAAGGGAGTATACATGATCAATCATGTTCGAAAGTTGCTTCAGTACATCATATTCTAGGGTGTCAAAAGTGTTCAGAATGATACCAGAACTCTTGTAAGTTCTTGGCATTATTTTCACTACCCATTCCAAAAATTCGTCCTTGGGATCAGTCGCCCAAATTACGGTTGGGATATCTCTTAAACGGATGATATCGATTCCAGGAATCCAATCAATAGTGTTTTCCATGTATCCATTAGTAAAATAGCTGTCATCTGTGAGTTGAACCCAAAAAGAGATGTATATGACATATAGCAGGAAGAATAAAATTTTCAGAAGTTCATATCATCGAAATTATGATACACATTTGGCAAATTCGACTAAATCATATATAAGATCTATTTGATTTTCCCTTTGAAATTTAGTCATGATTCCCGAGTTTTGCTGGATCAAAGAAAAAAAACATTACATCCAAAGTGTCACATATATATGGGAAAAAATATATGGTACGTAGTGGGATGTCTCTATTAGAGGATCTAACCATAGTCAATTTCATGCGTGTTCTCATATCTTCAATGCTTCTTTCATACTCTATAATTATTTTTCTTGAAAAGCATTTTTCAGGTTCAATACGTAAACTTTGAAGGTTACAGTCATATTTAAAACTTTTCGTACTTAACTAAGATTTAACGGATTTCCGTGAGTTTCTAAAATTTAGGGAGTGAAAATATCTAAAAGTTAGGTTGTAAGGGGATATAAACTAGATAAAATGGCAATAAGTTGAGAAATTTATTGGTTTTTAGGAACCTGTCGCTTTGGAAATTACATGTTTATAATCTTTCTATCTACCTTTTCACACGGTGTATGTGTGATTTATACTAGGTGGTGCAATATTCACATTTGACACCTCACCATCTAGACTGACCACAGAATTACGATTCATGAGTTTGATAACTCCATATAAAGTGGGATAAATTATTCGGTTTCTGAATCATGTGTTCCTTTTGGAATTCAAAAGTAAAAATCTGCTTTCTACTCAAAATCTTAAATGAAACAAAAAAAAAAAAAACTATTTAGGTCAATCTAATTCATGGATGACCCTATTTTTAGGGCAACAAAAAAAGATGTGGTAGAACCTTTAATTCAAGCTTGTATTATCAACTTTTAGTTTGAATCTTTTTTTTTTAATGTCGTTACTAAAATCTATGTATCATTAAGACTGTATTATGCACAATTAGCAAGTACTAATTTGTACCTTTAAGTGGTGTAAAACCTCGTTCACGAAGATGAGGAAAGTGTAGGAGGCACATCACAGTTAATGCACTGAAGGGCCAAAACAACAAATTTGGAATCCCCAATTCTTCAGCTGCCTCGAGCGTGAACGACATGAAACCATCAGAGATTACACAACTTACAGGAGGAAACTGATCATCCATTGAAGCCCTATTGTTGAGTTTTTTGAGTAGATTGCAGAATGGAACATAACAGGTTTTGGAAGTTGAAAGACAAAGCTGGAAAACATCTTGGGTAACATCATCATTTTCAGCTGGTGGAAGGCCATCTGGGATGGTCTCAAAATTGAAATCGGCTGTACCAATCAAAGATTTGGGACCTCGTGCTTTGAGTATACGATTATAGTTGTATTCTGTGTGAACAAAGGTTATATGGAAGCCTTTCTGGTGTAGAAGTTTGGCCAACTTTAGCATTGCGCTAATATGGCTTTGAACTGGATATGGGATGCAAATTGCATGAGGCTTTTTCATTGGATTTTCCATGGCTAATTGCTCCCTTTGCGGTGAAAGATCCCAAATAAAATCCTGCATGAACCTCATTCATCATTGAGAATCTTCTATATATGGGTAAATCAAATTTTCTCTTATAGCTATTTGATGATATTTTTCTTTTTTTGAAAATGACACCTACTAAATTATTAGTTTGCAAGTTGAAACCTCTCATTCATCATTGAGAGTCCTCTACATATAGGTAAATTTTCTCTTATAGATATTTGATGATATTTTTCTTTTGTTTTTTTTTCTTTTGAAAACGACATGTACTAAATTATTAGTTTGCAGGTTAAACCTCTCATTCATCATTGAGATTCTTCCATCTATGGGTAAATTAAATTTTCTCTTATATATATTTGATGACTTTTTTCTTTCTTTAAAAGTTACATGTAACAAATTATTAGGTTGCAAGTTAAAAACTAAAACATTGATGACGATCAATTCTATCAAGTGATTTCAAAGAAGGCCAATAAACAAAAGCAGTGTTCAAAAATTGGTAGAGCAATGCAAATACAACAAGATTTCAAGTCAAAAACTCAAACACCTTCATGGTACCATAAATGTGGAGCATGTTGAGATTATTTAAAAGTTTGTAAACTTTTCAATTAGTCAAAATTAAGAGGTATATCCTTTTATCAGGCACTCTTCGAAAAATTTTAATAACACAGATCAGGATCTATACCCAACCACCCACCATTTCTAGGTGGTTTTCATTAAAAATATATATATTAAGTATCTAATCTATAGTTAAAAAAAAGTTGCAAGTTAAATTTTGTTAAATGTCATCACTAAAAATGACATTTAGCTAAACTGCTAGTGCAAGAATACATTATTTAGAGGATCACGGCCTTGGTTTTTTAAAAATGACATTTTGGCTACATTAATAGCTGCAAGGTTATGCTTAAACCTGATCGCAAAATATATAACACACTTGAGCTACATAACTATAGAGATAATGACCCTCAACTAACAAGGCCTTTTTTTTTTTTATTGAAAACAAGAAAGTTTATTTAATTCTTGAGTAAAGTTTAATTTCCTCTTAACTACACTCTTCCCATATTGCCGTAGAAAATTTGTAAATTGTTGAGATCATCATTCACCTATTGAATTGTATGAAGTTGCACGCAATTAGGACATCAAATAGCTATTGGAAATTTGAAATGCTGGCAATGCTTGCTAAAATGATTAATTCATCCTTAAAATATCTCACAAAAAAAAAGGTATCTAAACAAGTTTTTTAGTTTGTTATTTTCTTTGGTTGTGGAGGTTGAATAAATATTGCTTCTCAAACTGCATCATCCTAAGCCTAGAGAGGCGGCAGGTTAAATACAAGAGTCAGCAATGCACCATATCATACTCGTGCAGCTATAGTATAGCAGTATACTTGGAAAAGGGCCAAAATTATCAGAAAAATGTATTAAAATCATGGGAGATTTAGGGACATAGCTAAATTTTGGTTAATGTCCAGTAACTAAATTTTGTGCCAAAAATAAATATGCGAGGACTGCATATAATGAACACTTGCAAGCTGGCTTACCAAATGAAGCATCTGCAATCGGCATGAAGAATGCCCAGGAATTAATTATTGCTTACAGATGTTGGTAGATAGATACACATATATATATATATAATTTACACCCCATGCATCACGCATCATAGTCTAATCACTTGTCAAGTGCAAAAACTATATTATCTAAAACAGGAAAATTAATATAAAAAAAATGCCGTATCTCATACTTGAATAAAACTATGTTAAAAGAGATTAACTTAACTCAATATCGATAACGTAAAAAGAAGAAGTCCAATAGTTTGGTTCAATTACGTCGTGATTCTTGAGTTCTACCACTTCGAGCTTCTGGTTCAATTAGTCATATATGTTATCTTTCAACTATTTCTTGAACATGTTCTGCTGTTACATTTTTACTAGACAGAGGCAATTTAAATATAAGCTAATGAATCTCAAGCATTTGCAGCATCCTTCTCTTTCAAGAATTATTTCTCGAGCCATTTATGGTTTCTAGATTGCTTTAGTAAATAAATAATCTATCTTCCAATCAAGTTCGTGCACGTGAACCATGTTTTCAGTTTATGACTCTTCTAATAATTTGGTGGTGACTTAACCAACATATAGAGCTGCATGGCTAATAAACTTTTACAAGTTGATTATCTAAGAACTGGACAATCATCTTTGGAAGTTGATTCTTACCCACCACCAAAAAAAAAAAAAAAAAAAAAAAATCTTTGCAACTTGACAGCGTAGTAACTTTTTGTGTAATCACCGGAGTTAGTCCAATAGCTAGAGGAAAGCTCTTAGAGTCTCCTCCATTATCAGGTTCAAAATTCAAATTCTATATTTGACATTTGGGGGTGTGAAAAGGAATGAAAAGGTGTAAAAAAAAAAAAACTTCTTTATGTTCATTTTTTAATCAATAATATCTATATTATTCTATTCTATTTTACGGGGGAAAGAGAACCCAATAGCATTATATAAGAGGCTAGAAGAAAGACAGACTTATATCATTAATCTAGTTATGCACAGAAGGAAGCGAAAAAGCGGACAGATATTTAAATATTTATCGTTGATAGATTAAATTGAGTTTTCAAATCGAAATATGTTTGGTTCACATGCTCCGAGGAACCATATATATTGACTGACCTATAACTATGGACTAATTTTGCTCATTTGCAAAATGATTGTCCAAAAATCTAGTGACCCCAAATATTGAACCTATGACAGTATAGCTTCTTTTTTCAGCGGTTTTTTTTTTTTTTTTGGCTTTTTGCTAAGCAATAAGAATAGCTTTTTGAATTATGAATATGGAAGTACCTTGTCTACAGGCATGCGGACCACAAGAAAGGGACTTTCTGGGATTTTTATTTTTTAAAATAGGAATTCATATGCTTATGAGATGGATCATGGGTGAACCAAGTTTACAACACACCTTCTCCCTTTTCTAGTTCAAAAAGACTCCAAAGGTGCACTATAGTACACATTACTCTGGAGAAGGGCTCTCTCCATCTTTCACATGGTTCTGTGGGGCTCTCTCTTAATGTAAATTGCTGCAGGATAAAGATGGACGTTGGCACTAAAAAAATCTTGAATGTTGATATCAATTTAAATGTAATGTTTCATCCATTGAAGATCCAAACTTCAAAACAATGTGAGCTTTGAAGCGAAAAAAAAGGTTGTAGGAATCAAGAAATCACCAAAGTACTTTTCATAATTATCTCCAACATTTCATTGTAATTTGACTAAAGTTTCAAAAGAACAAACCATTAACGTCTAATATGAACATTCTTGATCGTAATTCTATTCATCTGCTACAAATTAATGTTCCTCTAATGCATTGAAAGGAAGAGAGAGCTTTAAGCGAATAATTAAATTATGGTGCGTTAGAGATTTTTTTTTAATTTCTGATTTTTTTCTGGGAATAAACTTCTCGCATCCAGGTACATTGGCTTCACTGGTCAAGAAGGAATGGGAACCCACACAAAGGGTGCGACAAGTACTAAAAAGTTGTTAGGCTACAACTAGGGCTGCAAACGAATCGAGCCGCTCGATTCAAGCTCGAGTCGAGCTCGAGCTGACTCGAGTCGAAATCGAGCTCGAACTCGAACTCAAAATATTAAGCTCGTTAGCTCGCGAGTTCGAGTATATATATATATAATATTTTTTATTTTTTTTATTTTAAGTATATATATATATATATTTTTTTTTTATTTTAATAGTAAAATTACATATATATCCTTAATATTTTTATTATTTATTAAAAAAATATTATTTTTTTTTTATTTTTTTCGAGCTCGAGTTCGAGCTTGGTAAAATTTAGTCGAGACTCGGCTCGATTAGCCCAAGGCTCGACTCGACTCGGCTCATTTGCAGCCCTAGCTACAACTCAGCATATTGGCACTAAAACCCAAAATCTTTGATTTTGAGGCCTGAACTTCCATTATTTTCTCCATGAGGTCAAGTCTGGATAGCTGGCATTTATGGAGAAAACTGTATCCACGTATGATACGATAATATCTTTGATATTTTTTTTTTTCACGCTCCCATCCCTCTTCACACATTTTCTATCATCAGCTATTAAGTACATGATTTAAACCCTGAGTCTGACAGTGAAGAGATATTCCCAATGGCCTGAGAGATATCTCTGATCTTATTTACTGAAAACTTCATATATATATATGCAATTGACTTGTAAATTAATTGCTAGATTTAATTATCAAAGTTGGTATTAACTGCATAAATAAAAACTTAAAAAAATTAAGAAAGAGTTGGAAGTACCTATTGGGCTTAAACATATTCATATTTCAGTCGATGATTGACATCCCATGCATCATACATCATAATTCTGTTACCAAGCAATCTACAACAGGAAAAAGAACAAAAAAAAAATTTAGTACCTAACATCACGCCTGACATCATTAAGCGATCAGAAATAAACGAAATTATTGGTGTCAATTATAAAGTTGAAGTAGCATGTCCAATTTTTTGGTTCAATCTAGTCGTGAATCTTGAGTTTCTACCTTTTTTTTTTTTTTTTTTTGAATACTTTACAAACTTCTGGTTGTGATATCAAGCAATGATTATTGATCTTTTGTACTGAAGTTCACTCTAAGACTTGATTGACGAGCAATTTAAATTGTTCCGCTATTAAATTATAAGCCATGCCATACTACTATCACACACATGTAATTTATATGATTGGCAACAATCCTTTCTGCCTCCGTCCATCAAATGGTAGGCTACAAAATTTAGGGCACACATCGCATTACCACTATATTAGGATAAGAGAGATGATTTCAAGATGCATTCAAGCATCACTTTCTCCAAACGGTTTAATCTGCTCTAGCATAATCTGGGATTAGGTAAGCGTGTTGTTGTATTGTGTATGATTCAATCTGATTATTGTGTTTGTTTAAATTTATTACATATAACTACATTATAATGTTGTATCGAATGAAAATGAAATATTTTAATCTTCATAATCATTTTTTCTGCGAGTACAATAACGTAATGTGATTGTACACCAAATACTATAATA